TTTCAGCCAGTTTGGTTTATTTCAACCGGTTTTATACCAATTTTATAAAAAAACACATTAGGGGGCCTCGATTGGCCCAAAAAAATTAAATAATGAAAACTACTGGCGACAGAATTTTTAAGTGCGGCGGCTCCGCCGACTTACCTTCGCGGTTGAATATTTTTCTTCGATCAACCTGTAAAAAATAGAACGGTGAACACCATAATGGAAAAATCGCACGAAACTAAAAACATGAAGGGACTCATCGAAGGAGGTTTCGAGTTTTACTCGCGGTTTCTGGCTCACCCGCCGTTCTTTTTACTCTGATTTGGCCACGGAGGTACTCGGAATCAAATTCCAAGCGGATAGGAGAATATTTACCTTTTTTGACGGTCGGATGTGACCCTGGCGCGGCAGCAAACAACGGTCGGCTCCCTTCTCTAGCAACTTGTTCTTCTTCTTCGTCAGGAAGCTAGCGATTGGAGGTTTAGATGCGGTGTGATGCGAGATATTTATACCTGTCTCGAATTAATCTAGATCGTTCATCGCATTTGATCTCGACCGTCCGATCGTGTTTAAAGAAAAAATAAATTTGGACAATTCATCGCGATTTGATCTCAACCATACAATCGTGTTTAGAGAGGGAATGAATATGGATCATTTATCGCATTTAATCGCGATCGTCTGATCGCGCCGGAGGAAGAAACGGATCCGAACCATCCACGCGCGCAGGAACACTTCTGAGCCGTCCAATCCCCGACACAGATCGCCTACGTGGCCTCCTGCATAGCACCGAGTCAGCGTACTTCTCCACGCGGTGCGCTCCGGTTCGTCGAGGCTGCTGGCTAAGCGGTCTTACATGGCGCAACTTCTTATTAATTGCATTTTGATATCTAATTTTCGATTTTTCTTTCAAAAACACCGTATGAATCCAAATTTTTACATTTTGTTCTCAAAATTATTTTCAATTTGATTCTTAACCTATTTTTTTTTCTAATTTCACATTAAATAAAAATTATTAATTTTAATATTAAATTTTTATACATTTTTTATTTTTTAAAATTAATTTTAAACAAAATTTCGGATCCGATTATTACAATAAAAACTATGATAAAATGTATAAATGGTTTGGAAATATAATTGAAATGGAAAAAATAATGCCATTATATTAACAGTAACTAAAAGTTTAATTACATTTTTACCTTTTAAGCTGTGTCACCAACAGAATATCTAAAAAAAAAAGACTGTGCAAAGAAGAAAAATTAAGTATTTCTGAGCAAATCTCGATCCAAGTCAAACCCACCATCTTTAATTAATTGCTCCTCTTCCCACTTTTCACGTGCAATAAAATCTCCACCAATCTCTGATCACGTGTGTCCATTACTCTCAGTCACGTGCCTGATTTCTTCAAATCTCCGAAACAGTCGCCGCCACTAACACCCTCCACTAACTTCACCGATACTTTTCCTCCGCCAAACATCTTACATCCCGGAAAATCAAAACTGGAAATTTCAAACAGCAACCCCACGAAATTTTTATTTTTTAAAAGAGATCAAATGAATTACTATCTCTTTTCTACTTCTTCTTCTTCTCCTCTGAGAAATTTTTCTTGTATTTTCTTTTTTCGGGTAAAGAAATGACTGGGACCAGTGGAAGATGAGGAAAAATAAGAAAGAAACAAGCAAAAGATGGGGTGGAGGAGGGGTAAGAATATTCTGTGGCATAATGTGGGTTTTCTGTGTCTGTATCTCCGATTTCTCATTCTCTCTTTCTGGGATGCTTTTTTTCTAACAAAAAATTTATGGGTAAATTTCAAGATTCAAGATTCAAGTTTGTTTGGTATCTGGGGAATCGAGAGGGAAACAGGTGTCGTCTCCGCCAGTGTTCCAGAGAAAATGGGCGTAGTTGGCTGCGTAGTATGAGTTGGAGGGATCGGCAGAGATGGCTTCCAAGTACGCCTCCTCAGCCGCCCACAGTTCCTTCTTTACTACCCATAAGAATAATGCGTACTTGCTGTATGCCTCTGGGTCGACCGGCTCCACTCCTAATGCCCTCTTGAAGTACTTCTCCGCTCTGTTTTACACCCATTAAAAGCCAAATTAACAAACCTCATCACCAAAAGCAAATTACTTTACTTTAAAGAAAATATAAAATAAAATGAATCTTTATGATACCAACAAAAAAAAAAAAAAAATGCACCACAGATTTCCCTATCAATATTCAGAGCAACCCAACCCCAATTTTATTAACTAAATGACAAGGTATCCTATTCTGATTCTGTACTTTGTTGTTAAACACCGAGATCTCTGGGCTAAAAGACCCGATTTTAACTAAATTGAAAGACGGTTAAAAAGGGTGTAATTAGCTTGAAAGATATTCTAAGTTGAATAAATAGTAAAGATTTTTTCATACCTTTCATAATCACGAGCAACGAGATAGAGGAATTGAGCGTAATTGGCGAGCAGGAGAGGGTTGTTAGGTTCTTGGGCTAATCCTGATAGGTAGACAAGCTCTGTTCTGGAATACTCCACGTAATCATCGGCTTCAATCTTGGCATTCACGGGGGAAACTAATCTCTGCATCGTTTCATGATCAAGCCCCTGGTCTCTCAATGAAGCTTGCATTGTTTCAGCTTCTTCTACAATGGAATTCCATACACTCAACTCCTCTTCTCTGCTGCTGTCTTGCCTTGAAACCGACTCTGTCTCTCTCGTCGATCCAAATGACGACAACTGCGAAGCGCCATCGGGAAGGATGGTTCTAAAATGGTTGGACTGGTCAAATAATCCGTCGCCGTCTGTCCCGCTAGCGACCGGCGGTGTTTTCCCGCCACCGCCACTGTTACCGCCTATGGAGGTTGACTTCCCACTAGAGGAAGATGAAATGGAGAACGACTTGATCGATGAAGTATCAAACTTTCGGTGCTTCTGATCCTGAGTTTCCATGATGGATGATATTGCGCTCTTCGCGGCGTAGGATCCGGGTGGGGGAGATGCAGCAATGGCAGTGTTGTTTCCCATGGAATAAACTGTGAAATTCGCCAAGAGTATCATCACGTACACCATTAAAGTCGGCGTGTGTGAGAAGACTTGCTGGAAGAGCCATACGAAGGAAGCGTGCATCTCCTTCTGGACCCGATCGAGAATCCCATGTAAATCCTCGTAGAAAAGTAACTCTCTCATTTGCAAGGTGAAGCTGTGAAGCTCCCGAATAATGAACACCAAGGACGAAAAAGCCTTTTTGACTGAGCAACAAGCTGATTCTCTCGCCTCTCTAAAATCCTCCTGCCACCGGATCTTCCTCTTTATTATCCGAAGAGAAAGCGGGAGATCAACACTGTTCGCCTTCCGTTCGATGGTCGAATCAGGGACTATCTCTCCCCATGGTGGCTCAACGGAGTCCAGTACAAAGCTGGGTACCTCTAATCGAAAACTATCGAAACTATTCACTATGTTGAGGTTCAGGTGGTCATCGGAATCCCGAACTCTCTCCGGTTGCCAGTCCGAGGCCGAGTTGTCATCGTTTGCAGTTTCATCATCTTCATCGTCACCGGAGACTTGGAATCTGAGAGCCAACTCTTGAATCTTCTTCGAGAATTCCTCGTCGGAGAAAGACTGCAAGCTTGCACTACAAGCTCTCCTAATAGGACGGATTCCGCTTGTCAATTCTTTCGGCGAAGCAAGAGATTGAGACCTGCGGAGCTTCGCCGATCCAGTCCCAAACAGAGCCGACCGCTTGAGCCTATGCGGGACTTGGAGGCAAAGGATAGCTGTCTCCGCTCCTACTCCTCTTCCTCGACGGCTCCTTCGTTTTGACGCGGGAGAGGACATTGCAGAGGCAAGGGTCTGCGAGGAAGATGGAGACTGAGGAAGAATTGGCTGTGACCATTGCAAATAAGCAGCGGCTACTTCCACTCCCATTCGAGAAGGAAAAAGCTGAGATGCTTCGAGAAATTAAGTGCAGTACGGAGATGCCACGTTGAGTAGACTTTCTACGAATCGAAATCCCGAGAAAGTTTGCAAGAAAAGAACTTTCTCTGCCTCCGAACAGAAATCAAGTGACTGCTTTTCTTCCCTTTCTAACTCCTTGCAACTCTTCTTTTGAATATACTATTAACCTGGAAAATCAAGGAATGACAAGCAAATAAGTCTTGACCACTCAAAACCGAACAATTCAAAAGCATTCCCCTCCCTATCTCCATGGCTCTCACTCCCATTTTCCCGGAAAACGCAAGAAATTTAAAACAAAATGCAAAAAAAGATGTTCCATATCAAACGCCATAACCACTCATTGCAGTCTCCCAAAAAAATCGGATCGGAGAAATTAAAATTGCCACCAGCACAAAAATCAACAAACTCAAAATCGGCAAAACTCTTTTACATTAAAAGAAGAAGCAGCAATCTTACTTTCGTTAAACCAGCACGTAAATCGTCGATTTCTCTTCTCTCTCCGACCAAAACTCCGGTGAGGTTGATATTCGATCGCGATTTATGAAGCGAAGCACGAACGTAGCTTCACTTTTTTTCAGCAAGAGAAATAGGCGCTGTGTCTTTATATACCACAACCCCAAATGGAAAGCTTCTTTTCCTTTCAACGAATCATAAGAAAAAAATAATAATTAATTCAATAACCGAAGATAATTTTCAAAAAAATCTAAACTGGGTAAAAGTAATGCCGGTAAATGAGTTGTAAATAACCGGTGTGATATATACGATCTAACGGGAAGCGTACGGAGTACTCTATCTGGAGATACCGGTGGCCGGTCAAAAGAGCATATTAAGGGGGGAATGCTAAAACATGACAGGATTTTTTCAGTCAAACGCGGCGTCTTCATGATCCAACGGTTCTTAACTGAGCCACGTGTCGATAATCCCGCCATCGTCCTGATCTGTCCAATTAGAACCCGTGATTAGCCGAATCGTGAAGTTCCTCCGTTGACACGTGTCCATTCAGCAACCTTTTTTAATTACACGGTCACTGATCGACAGCGTAGAGTATTTGTACACCGGTGTGAGAGCAGTGATTTTCGGTATTTAGATCGCACGGTTGAGAAGTCAAATGATAAAAATTTTGATTAACTAATAAAATAATTAGCGTCGTATTAACAACAACACTCTATTAACTAATTTTATCTTTATTGCATCATAACTTATGTTAATCTTGTTTTAGTTAAGAGTCAATATTTAAATTTCTATTTTAAACGAGAATTCTAATAACTGGTCAAAATTCATTAGTTCTTATTAAGTAACATATATTATTCATACATTCAAATTTAATTAAATATTAAAATTATTTATATTATATTTTGATATAATTAATAATTTTGAGTATGGCATAATCATAGTCCTTTATAATTTTGAAAAATATATTGTTTTGACACAATAACTATGATTTATAATTTACTTAAAGATAAATATTTTATAACTATATGTATTAGCGATTTAAATAATTTCAAAATAATTCATAAATTTAGCTAACTAAACAACGGGTAAATGTTATTTTCAATTTCAAATGAGTCTTCAAATCGAAATTTGATTTTGAATCAACACAATATAATGAGAGACTATATATACATTAAATTAGTTCCTAAAAATTTGATCATCAAATGTTTATATTATATTTACAAACATGTCGTATAATAAATAATAGATAAATTTTTTATTAGTCTATGTACTATTTTTTTTTTTTTGTTCAATTTGGGTTATGTGTTAATATTGTGTTAAATTAATCATTATACTTTAAAAATATTTGAATTTATCGATATTCGATAATTAGTCATTGACACCATTAACACACGATGTTATATGTTATTGATTTTAGTACATGATAGTTCATTTATTTAAAAAAAAAAAGATGCATAGATTAATTTGATGCAAAATTAATGTACGGACCAATTAAAAAATAATTTAATAATTTACTCAAAAGAATACCCAATAAAGTAATTAAAAAAAAAAAAGGACGGTTGTGTTTAATTGTAAACACGTGCTCAAATTGGATTGCTTAATAAATTAAGGTGTATAAATTATATTAATTACAAATATGAAAGAGGACAAGGGATAAAGAAAATAGAAATATAAAAATATCTACCAGTTGGAGGTGGAAGAGGTAAGGAACGGACGGTTGAGAATGAGAGGCCGAAGGCCAAGTTGGCCGAACATTTTGTCCCAACGCGCTGACAATTTAGAGAGAATGGAGACTGCTGATGCCGACATCCTCAAAACATCCTCGTGATATATATTTAACGGCTGATATTCAAATATGTTTTAAAATTATTATTAAAAATAAGTGAATGTATTACTATATATATATTTTTAAAAAAAAATTTATTAAAAGAATAAGGAAAACGTTTTTATTTTATTTTATTTATGTATAAGTTGATGTAATAATATTTTTCAAAATAAACTATTAAAATGTTTAAATAATTTGAATTCATAAATTTTATTGATTTATAGTTTATGTATTTTACAACCATATAGTTTAAACTATGATATTCAACGTCAAAATTTAATGACATAAATTGTTGAATTTTGTTCGATATGTGAATTTCGGTATGCGTATCGTATTATTAATTTAATAAATTCGTTTAAAATTGATCAAATACGATTAAATAGTATTAGATTTTAATAC